TTGCTGATGATTTGGTGTTTATTCTTGAAGATCTGATAACATCCATGCCATACTTGCTGAATGAAATACAAAACTATAGTCAAGTGGCAGGCTTAAAGATTAATTTGAATAAAACTAAGATCTTGACGAAAAATTGTTCTAAAGAAGAGATAATTAAAATACAAACAATTTCAAACATTCAAGTGGTAAATAAAACTAAATATTTAGGTGTATTAGTAACAAATAATAATAAAAATCTATATAAAAATAACTACCTAGCTTTACTAGAAGAAATAAGAAAAGATCTAAATAAATGGCACGATCTACATATTTATTTTATGAGAAGAATTGCTACCATAAAAATGAATATCCTCCCATGATTTCTCATATTGTATATACTTACCATGTCAAGAATATTAATTGCAAAACAATGGGAAAAGGATACGATACCCAACAAAGAAGAGCTAAGGGATAAAATTATTGAAATAGCTGAACTAGATAAACTGAATACGACTCTTTCAGGGAAAGATGAAACAATTTTTCAAAATAGATGGCAGAAAGTTTATAACTGGGTGGAAAAAAACTGTTAGAAGATCTTCCATTTGTACTTCCAACAAATGTATATGTATTACTCTGTTCATTATTTTATGTAATAGAAAACGTACAAATAAACTTATTTTTTTAAAAAGACAATAGGCGCTGGCTGTTTCCGCGGCAGGCCCCCATGCGCCCATGCGCATAGGCGCATGCAGTGGAGCAGAGAAACAGCTGCTAACAGTCCGCCAGGGGCGGGCTGACAGTGCAAATGCTCCCTTGCGCTTCCTCCACGGTATCCTCCCGCTTCATTCGCTGCAGTGTGAACGGGAATACCGCGGACAAGCCATTCCTGGTCTGTTCCGGGTCTTCTTTGCCATGACTCCCTAGTGCTTCAAATTGCCAGTCTGAACTTGGCCTATGATCCTGTGATTGAGCACTAGATTCTTGCCCAAGCACAACGAGATGTTGTTGGACAAATTTAATATTGGCTCTTTTGCTTGCCAACAGCTTTACAATGCAGTGCCACTGGTAAGGAGGCTTCCTCTACCCCATCAGAGGATGTTTAAGAATGCAGATAAGGTCATTGCCTTCCTTTCGGAAGACGGAAGAGCAGGAGGAGCACAGGGCAACACTTGTTCCTGGACAGCACCGTGACTACATTGATGCATACTTGGAAGAAATACAGAAGGTATCTCGGTTCTAGGCCCAAGTTTCCATGTGAAGGTGCATGAAAATGTTCTTGAATATGTGACTTTCCCCCCGTACCAAGATGTGGAATGTAATCCAAATTTTGAACGTTCATCTGGAATTTATAAACTCCTCAGATTCAAACTTCAGATCTGGGGCTTTTTGACATTTCAGCACCATATGGGCAAATTTAAAATGTCCGTTTCATCTCTTTCATTTTCAGATTTCTTTAAAGTTTACAGATCACAAGGTTTTTAGTTGCAGTCCTGTTCCTCTAACTCAGGGGTTTCCATCCATATCGAGCCTGTGGGAACTTCTCAACTTTTGAGAGTAGGGAATGGACAGTACAACAAAATGGATGCCACGGGGGTGGTTGGACCAATGATAGAACTTGGGGAGTTTCCACAAGAGGTTAGGAGATTTCAAGCTAAGCCTCTTCCTGTGATGCTCCCAAATGGCTGTTCCCTGCAGACAAAAAGCTGGTGCCTCCTGGGTTTTTCTGAAACATCTCCTGGGCCAATGAAATGAAGGAAAGCCGGGGCTGGATCTTTGTTTTGGGGAGAAGCAAGCAAACACATTAGTGGGCAGCATAGTGTCCGGGTGCATCATATTGAGGTTCACTGCTCTATTGTAAAAACTAGAGGTTAACAGTGCAGGTAAACCATTTGTGTCAACCCAAGCAATGGGCCTTTAAATGCCATCCAAATTATTGTAATTAAAGAAAATGGATGAACAAATATGAATCATATATGACTTAACATCACATAAGGCTCCAAATATTTCTCAAATATACATCAATCTTCAATATGTGAAATACATGAGCTGCAATGAATAGGCTGGAGTTTTAAAGCAATATCTAAAATTTACTATTTGACACTCCCAACCCAAAAGAAAAACTTCACAGATTTATGTGATGTTAAGTCATATATCCCTGTCAAACACCTATCTGATGAGTCACTATCTCTCTTCCCTTGCTGTCCCCCCCACTAGGAAATTCAAGTACACAATGAGAAGCCAGAGTATGGTCAGATCTCAACATTTCCAACAATGTAGAAGAACATGCCACAAGTGACTCACGGTGAACCCCATCCACAGGGTGTTCCAGGCAAGAGATGACCAGAGGTGGTTTGCCTTTCCTGGAGCAGAGGCGGTTTGCCACTACCTTTCCTTGCAAAGCAATCTCAGTCTTTCCTGGTGGTCTCCCATCCAAGTATTAACCATGGCTGATCCCACTTAGCTTCCACGTTCTGCTGAGTGTGGGGCAAGCTGGGGCTATTCAAGCTGCTACCATACTAACAGTATTAAAAAACTGGCATAGTTCAAGTCAGATTTGGATCCACCTACATTTCTCTATTGCTCATTTGGTTACTTTACCACATATTCAGATTGGGCTGCCAACTGTCTTCCCACACTAAGGCTGCGGTCACACGGAGCATTAGCCATGCTACAGAGACGGAAGATAGGCGGATTTTCTGGGCGTGATCACAGCGCCACATCTGGGAAGCATAGAGCTCCCGTGGCTCACCTGAGGCTTCCCGCCGAAGATACAGGGTAAAAAACTAGTACCTCCGAGGTACTAGTTTCTGGAAACCGCGGAGCAAGGGCGGGCGTCTGATCATGTTTCCGGTGGCATCCGGTGCCCGCCCATGTCCCGTCGCGAAAAGGTCCCCCCCCCAAGTCTCCACGGGATGCGCACAAGCACCCAACGGAGCATGCGAACACTTGGATTTAAAAAAAAAAACCCTGCCGATCCGCTTCTTTGCTGCGCCGCAGGAGTGAGGTATGATCGGCACCTCCCCGGCACCTCCCCCCCAACCACGGGACGTCAGCAGGACGTTTGATCCCGCTGCCGCACGGTAGTTCACTCCGGGGCAAACAGCCACGCCTCCCCCCTGCGATATCCGGCCTGTGTGACCGGGGCCTGACATATCTTTATGAAACAGCCCTTAGACTCCATTTAGCCATGCATCTCATTCTAAAAAAACCCCAAAACTGTTCTGTATTTTTTTCCCCATGGAAGTCAGAGGATAAAGGATCAAGTTTTGAAGAGGAAGGCCTGATTATTATTCTGATCGATCTGTTTGTTGCTGGATCAGAGACAACCTCATCAACACTTCTGTGGGCTTTGCTCTACATGATGATGTTCCCAGAGGTCCAAGGTTGGTAAATGCCTAATGGGGGTAGTGTTAATAATTTGTCTAAAATCATAAATGGATTGAGGTTGCACATCATTGTCAACATCCTCTTGAAAAGCTTTCATTCAGGCTTCGGTGGATCGGACCTTCAGATATGATGGTTTATTTCATTCGGTCATGTGGTTTTGGAACTTAAAGCACTCTTCCTGGAGGCAGATGCTGCCATAGTACCCACTTGCTTGTCCAGGCAAGTGAGCAAGTATTCAGCTCACTCTGTTCCTAGACAAGAATGGCTGATGCCTTGGTGCAATACAGGTCAATGCCAAGGACAGAACTGGGACCTGCTGCCACTTCCCAGAGGAAGAGTGATGGAGACATGGCTGCTACTCCATCAAAGTGGATGAAGAGTTAGTGGGGCTTGGCCCTTGGTGGCAACCTAGCAACACCAAACTCTAATACTGGCCCTCGGTGGTGGTGGAAGGTGCCATCAAGTCATGGCTGACTGACGATGACCCTGTAGCGTGCTCAAGACATGAGACAAACAAAGGTGGTTTGCCATTGCTCACCTCTGTGTAGCAACCTTGGGCTTCCTCAGTGGTCTCCCATGAAAGTATTAACCAGGGCCAACCCTGCTTAGTTTCCATGATCTGATGAGATCAAGCTACACAATGTAGCTCTCCAAAAGCAAACCAAAACAGTACGAGGCTATGACTTACTCCTTAGCAATGCTCTGTAATTCAGTAACATGCTTTCTTTTCTTTTTTTTCCCCCTGGAGTTTCCCTTAGTACTGAAACAAACAAAAGTGGAAGTGGCTGGCTGGCTGGCTTGGCTGGTCAATTCCTCATCCCACAGGGAAGTGACCACCTCCAAGAGTTAGAAGAATCGAAACTGATGGTGGCATCCAGAGATCACTCATTATGTGTAATATCAATAGCCAGACTATAGGTTTTCCCAAGAGGTCAAATAGCATCTCCTCCTAGGACTGTCCTAGGTCAGGAAAACAGCACAGGGATAAGGGTGAATTCCTTCTCCGTGCACCCTGCTGGTCTGATCCAAATCAGGCAAGACATGAGTGGGAACTGGGAAGAACCCACAACACACATCTGACTGTTACATATTACACAGTGTGCGGATTTCAGACTCAGCCTATGTATTCCATAATGTATAAATTGGAATAACTGTCCAGCTACCAATATTGGATTGAGAAGATTGTCACAGTGGTGATAAAGGGGTGAAACAACTTAATGTACTCTTAGAAACTGTTGTGTGTACTCAAATTCTTCTTCTTAGACAAATGTGAACTGTCAAAAATGGGGTGGAAGAAGAAAAGGATTAAAGTGAAGAAGATAATATGCATAATGCCAGTTGAAGTCACTATTAACATAAGGTTCCATCTTTGCTGCTTAGAGAAATGTCAAGCGGAACTGGACACTGTTCTCAGAAATAATCCATGCATCAAGTACGAAGATCGGGACAGGCTTCCTTACACAAATGCTGTCATCCATGAAATCCAGCGCTTTGCAAATGTGGTACCCATGGGGGTTCCTCATGCCCCGATCAAAGATGTGCAGCTTTTGGGTTATACAATCCCCAAGGTAAAACCTGAAGGAGTTAGACATGAACCATGATGTGTTGGTGTGTCTGTATATATGAATCAACCGCTTAAGGGAAGTCTTTGGATGTGGTTTCATGAATCCAGGATCATCGTAGCATGAGTCTGCTGCGAACTTTTTGCAGGCTGCTGTTTCTTCCTTCAGTGCTGCATCGACACCATGGACAGGATGCAGGCAGCTTTTTTAATTCACCATCACCCAGTCCCCCTTCTTACTATGGCTCCTCCCTTATGACCACCAGCATAGCCTGGTTAGGTGGTCAAAAGAAACCCCTCCTTCCTTTTCCACCAGCATCAAATCTACTCATTTCCAACCCTTCCCTTCATAACTTTCCCCCTTTCCCCACTTCTTGTCTTGAGGGTTCTCCAAGTTTTCCCTGAGGCTCCATGAACAAACAGAGACGTTACACGGAGGTCCATGTGACTGTCCCTCAATCCATTTTTTTAAAAAAAAAAAGAAGAGGAAAAATGAGTATGGAGAAAGGCTTCCCCCCCCTGCTGAATGTGCTCTCTCTCTCTGAAATACCCCTTCCAAACCTCTCCTCCCCCCC